TTGTTTTTTTGTACATTTTAAAGATTTCACTCTACTTTCTTCTTGCACATGGTTTCTAAGGAGAAGTCAAATATCATTCTTGTTTTTGTTTTTCTATAAGCAAGTTTGTTTTCTTTCTCTATGTCCCTTTAGGGTTTTTTTTTTTTTCTTTATCTTTGATTTTCTGCAGTTTAAAGATGATATCCTTTTTTGGAACTTTTCTAGCTGGTGTTCTCTGAGCTGCTTAGATCTATGATTTGGTATCTGACATTAAAGTGGAGAAATTCTCAGTCATTATTCTTTAAGATAATTCTTCTGTTCCTTTTCTTCTTCTACTTCTGGTATTACCATTACATATATGTCACACATTTGTAGTTTCCCACAGTCCTTGGATATTCTGTTCTATTTTTTGTTTTTGTTTTTGTTTTTGTTTTTGTTTATTTTTTTCCTATTTGCTTTTCAGTTTTCAAGGATTTTATTGATGTTTTCTCTAGCTCAGAGATTCTTTCCTGTCATGTCCCGTCTACTAATAAACCCATCAAAGGCATTCTTCATATCTGTAACAGTGTTTTTAATCTCTAGCATTTCTTTTTGGTTCTTTTGTAGGCGCTCCATTACTCTGCTCATATTGCCCATCTGTCTTGCATGGTGTCTACTTTATATATTAGAGCCCTTAGCATATTAATCAGAGTTGTTTTAAATTCCCAGTCTGCTGATTCCAACATCCTTGCCATATCTGGTTCTGATGCTTACTCTGCCTTGTCAAATTTTGTTTTTCTGCTTTTTGATATGCCTTTCAATTTTTCTCAATAAACTTGATGGACTAGGTAAAAGGAACTGTGATAAATAGGCCTTTAGTAATATAGTAGTGAGGTATGGGGGTAGGGGAAGCTTTCTAGAGTCCTATGATTATGTCTCAGTCATTTAGTGAACCTATACCTCTAGACTATGAACTCTAGACCATGAACACGAGTTTCTTAGTTTTTTTCTCCCCCCTTATGTGTGACAAGATGGCTGCAGTGGGCTATTCGGTATTTCTCTTCCCCAGGACATTTAGACTCTGATAATATCCCAGTAGTTTAGGCTGTCATTAACCAGTCTGCCCTGAGGACAAACGTTTCTTAGAAAAACAGTGCTCTGGAGTATTTTGAAATGGTTTCTCCTTCCCACTGCCAGAAGCAGGGGGTAATTTTCCCTAGTATTTTCTGTGGGAATCTAGTCATGCTCCTGGAGGTAAATCTCAAAATAATGCGGAGCCCCTCCTTTATTTGCCTGCAGTTCTTAACTCTCAGATACATCCACACTGAGCATCCAACAATTCATCCATTACAATTGAGCCTTCCCTACCCTGGCACTGGTTCCTGGGGTGGCTTTCACTCCTGACTCTTTACTCTGTAACTTAAGACTCCCTGTATTTGCCTGACTGTCTCTCCAATTTGGGGACAGCAGTTTGTCACCCCTTTCTTAAGAATCAAAGAAGAGTTGTTGATTTTTCAGTCTGTTCAGCTTTTTGTTAGGAGTAGTGATTTCCAAAGCTCCTTACATGCGGAAACTGAAACCAGAAGTCCTATACTTTTTATTTTACTAAATTGGGAAACTACTAAATTGATAATTTTGTAACTGGAATTTTTTCAGTTATATTGTAAACTTGTTCCTTATTGGTAAATACTCTTTGATGGAATTTTTATTGGCGACAGTATCTTTTTCATAGTGCATATTTTAATCTAGTCCTTTATTGGTTAGACTACTTCCAATTTTCTGCATTATAAACAGTACTTGTGTGAACGTTCATGGAAATAAATCTTTTTGTATGGTCATGATTATGTCCTCAGCATAAATAAAATAGCTCTTCCTAACCTAATGCCACAGAAGAATTTAGCAGATGCCGTGGTAGAGTAACTTCCACCTCCTTCTAAGGTGATTATATAAAATCAATTTCCTTGTTCTTTCATCAATTCACAAAATGATTGAGCCAGTTCTACACAATCTTCCTTCTACTGTTTTGGTGTGTGTATGTGCGCACCTGCCTGCAGGCACGCGCGTGTGTGTGTGTATGTGAAGGGGAGAGAGAGAGAGAGAGAGAAAATGAAACTGCTAATGAAAGTATTTTAAATTGTTAGAGAAATAGGTCTATTTTTTCTTTTTTTAATTTAAATTCAATTAGCCAACACATACTACATCATTAGTTTCAGATGTAGTGTTTGCATATAACACCCAGTACTCATCACATCACATGCCCTCCTTAATGCCCATCACCCAGTTACTCCATCCCCCCAACCCCGTCCCTTCTGTAACCCTCAGTTTGTTTCCCAGAGTTAAGAATCTCTCATGGTTTGTCAATAAAGGCTATTTTTCATTTCAAGGAAGACTAGTACTTGGAAGAACCAGGAAATCCCAGGTATTTTTTTTTTTTTTTGCTTTTATTCTGCAACTTTCATAGGACAGGAAAAAAAAAAAGGCACTGTCCTTAGATGTGGCATGGGGATAGCTCCTCTATAGAGGGCATCGTTTTTGTTATTCTGCTTTACTGAAAGAATTACCACCATGAAGCTGATGACTTCACTTTTTTTTTTTTTTTGGATGAAATACACAGCTGTTTCCATCTATATTGCCTTTGACCTTTTTTATCTGTCAGTGTCCTTTGACCACACACCACTAGGAACACACTTATACTTGAACTACTTGGATTTTTTGCTAGCTGCAGTGAAGGGAAGGCACACCAAAAAAAACCATGGGCCATCTCAGTGAAAGAGTATTAGAAAAGACTTACTATAGGATTTAGGCTTGTTGTTAAGTGATTTGAGGGAGGTTTCAAGAAAGCCATTTGCAATGACAGGGATGGAACTGGAGAGTGTTATGCTGAGCAAAATAAGTCAATCAGAGAAAGACATGTATCATATGACCTCACTGATATGAGGAATTCTTAATCTCAGGAAACAAACTGAGGGTTGCTGGAGTGGTGGGGGGTGGGAGGGATGGGGTGACTGGATGATAGACATTGGGGAGAGTATGTGCTATGGTGAGCGCTGTGAATTGTGTAAGACTGTTGAATCACAGATCTGTACCTCTGAAACAAATAATACATTATATGTTAAAAAAAAAAGAAGAAGAGGAAGAAGAAGAAGATAGCAGGAGGGGAAGAATGAAGGGGAGTAAGTTGGAGGGGGAGATGAACCATGAGAGACAATGGACTCTGAAAAACAAACTAAGGGTTCTAAAGGGGAGAGGGGTGGGAGGATGGGTTAGCCTGGTGACGGGTATTAAAGAGGGCATGTTCTGCATGGAGCACTGGGTGTTATACGCAAACAATGAATCATGGAACACTACATCAAAAACTAATGATGTAATGTATGGTGATTAACATAACATAATAATAAAAATAAATAAAGATGAATCTGAAAAAAAAAGAAAGCAGGGCTTTGCAATAGTTTGCTTGCTGTCAAAAAGCAGTTGTAATTTTCTGATTTGATATATTAATGACTTTTATCCAAAATTAGGTGACCAACTATCCCAGTATGCCTGAGATTGAGGGGCTTCTTGGGACACAATGTGTTCAGTGGCCAAACCAGGAAAATCCAAGGCAAACTGGGAGGAATAGGTTACCCTATCTAGAAGGCAAGCAAAATGAAAAGAGGATAAGGCTGAAATTGGTAAAGAAGTAATAGCTACTGACAGGAGCTAGGATTGGGGATGTTTGGTCATTTTTGTGATTTTGGCAATGTTCATGTTTTTGCTTGGATTCAGACATGACTATGAAGTGATCTCTTATCTCTGACTTGATCCATCATGGTGACAGGGTGGCCATGTCTGATGTTGCTTTCACTAGGAGAACATCGGGCCAGCTCCCAGCAACACCAAGGTTTTTACACAGGGTCAGGGCAGTTTCTAGCTGTCAGGGGCTGTTTTCCTTTTTTCCAGTTCTCTTCTTTATGGATTTGAGGGATACTTTTGGAATTGACCTAAGAGTTTACACATGTGATCTAGTTTGTAGAGATTTGGTTTTAGCCACACTGGTCTGTACCCTAATGAGATGCTTTAAGCTTTGAAACATTGAATAATAAAAGTTATCCTTCACCCTTAACACAACTTTTTTTTTCTTCAATAGAGAAAAATGTTTTAACGATTGAGACCAAATGCTAAATTATTAAATGTTAAAACAAGAAGAAATCAAATATTCTTTCCCCTTGAGATTCAAAACTCATATTAGCATATTTCACCGTTCTTCGTAGCACTGCTGTAAAGAAACCTAGCTTATTTGATATAGAACAAACGTACTTTTCACAGAAGATATAAACATTTGCATGAACATTAATATTTCACTATTAAACCAATGTTGTATGGAAATACTAGTTTATTTAGTGATGTTTCCCAGTTGTGTTTTTTGTTTTTAAAAATTAGAAATATATTTAAGGAGTAAACAATTATTCTGATTTAAAATAAAATAAATTTTCCATGGGGCACCTGGGTGGCTCAGTCAGTTGAGTGTCTGCCTTCGGCTCAGGTCATGATCCCAGGGTCCTGGGATCAAGCCCTGCATCAGGCTCCCTGCTCCGCGGGAAGCCTGCTTCTCCCTCTCCCACTCCTCCTGCTTGTGTTCCCTCTCTTACACTCTCTCTCTCTCTCTGTCAAATAATAAATAAATACAAATCTTAAAAATAAATAAATAAAATAAATTTTTTTATTTACAGTAATTGAAAAGATAGTTTCATTTTTTCAGGTTTGCTAATTTAATATTAAGAAAAAGTATTAAATGGTGGTTAGATTTTTTGGGGGGAGAAAACCTTAAACTAATAAATGAACATATATAGTTGATGTAGTTTAGTCACTAAGGTTATAATACTAGTTAAATTGTGAAACATTATTTTAATTATTAACATTCAGCTATCTTAAGCTATTCTATTCTCCTGTATATTAATTAAATTAATTATTTAGCAATTAATCTTTATAACAATGGTGGAAATAATATAACCTTAGCTATGTTATAATCATGATATAGTTCACATTCATGAACTTGTCTCTAGATTCTGAAGACTACCTTGAGGTCAATATTCCAACAGACCTAGGAGTGGAACATTCTGGGGAAACAAGTAAGAGAAAAGAAATTGAAGAATTATCAAAAGCTTCAAGAGACACCATACCCCTGGCAATGGTGCTTCCTACTGAAATTCCATGTGAGGTGAGTAAGATACCTTGTTATTTAAGTGGCTGGCTCTATTGTTTTCATAAATATTGCATTTCACTAGAATGTAAGCTCTAACATAGCTGGGCACTTCTGTTTACTTTGTTCTTGGCTGTGTCCTCAGAATCCAGAACAATATCTGGCAATTAGTAGACATTTGATAAATGTTTGTTGAATAATTTAATATTGGAGAATATATGAAAGCCTAATTTTATCAAGTGGTATTTGACATGTTGCCAAAAGATATATAATTGCTATATATACCAAGCCACTTAAAATAAAAGTTGGATTCATATTAACCAGATCAAGGATTTTATTTTTATAAGTGGAAATACATTCTTGAATAGGATTTGAGAATACTTATATTCTAGGATCACCGGTTTTTCAATTCTGAATCATGTATTAAAGGCCTCCATTATTAAGTGGAAATATAAGAGCTAGACAAGGTGGTCCTTTCCAGAATAAAAGGATAATGTAGCAGGGGATGGAGTGTGGATTTCTGAGAAGGTGACTATATGAGTACATGTCTTCATTGGAATGAACTACTGAAATAAACATACTGGTAGAGCTTGACCCGAAACTGGGTCTACATAATCTCCAGACAATAGAAAGATGCTGGTCCTCAGTGTCCATGGTGTCCTTCAGTGGAACAAGCCAAAGATACAGGAGAACAGGAGAGCCTTGGAAGTTGCATGGAAGGGTCCTCTGGGAGAAGCCAGTGGATTTGTGCCACTGGGTGACAGGGGCTGCATTTGTCTATTCGCTAGTAGCTGTCTTTGGGAAGAGAATCTCCTGTTCTTGCTGGTACTAGCAGTCCTGTGCAGTTGGGCAAAATGTAATTCCTTCATCCCCAGACCCCATCCCTAAGCAGAAGACTCACTGTTTTAAGCTATTATGCTGTCAATTCCAGAGAGACAAGAACTTCTTTGACACTGCCTTAGAGACTCCCAGAAACTGAACTATTCCGGATTCAGAGAACCGACACAGGTGACCAGGAAGAGAAAAATTACAACTCACTTAAAGGCCTCGGGAGCGTGAGGGAGGGCAGGCTGAACAATCAGAACTGGTAGCTCCTATTGAGTCAGAAACAATGGAAGAGACAGAAATAAATAGAAAAAAACTGTAATCAACAGGAAATGAGAATTATTCTCAAGTAGGTAAAATCAACACAAAAAAGAAAAAAAAAACCCTCTGGAACTAAACATTACTCACCAAGAACTCTGCAATGAGTCTAAATAGCTGCTCTGAACAAAACCTACAACAGTAAATTTTGAAGAATATAAAACCTTCCCCCACTATTAAATTTGCAGAGAAATTGAAATGTAAAAATTAAACCCCACTACCCTCCAAGCTGACTCAGATGGTTGGGTAGGATCAGGATTCTTTTAATAGCAGAATCATGGGCTATCTTTTACTGACATGAATACAATTCTTTCAGACCCTTGGAAGTGAAATTATTTCAATTTCACGTCTCTCTTTGGTATCCCACTTTTTAAGGAATCCTAAGAGTTGGAAGGTCATACGAGATTATTTTAGTGCCAGCCACATGCACTAAAAAATTAAAAATAAACCGATCCCCGGACGAAAGATAGTTATCCCAGCCAAAATCTTGTGTTCTCAGAACCTAGATCTTAGTGCAATCTGAGTCCATGTAACAATGGCCAAGTACCAAAGGAAAGATCATTTGTATCCAAATGAGTGAAAATCGTGTTTCAGATTTGCCAGGATAACTTTCAGTCTACGCCAGTTGTCCGAAAGCACAACCTCAAGCTTACTCATTCCTGAGACATCTTCCAATTAGTGGGTAAGTAGAGACCGCTGAAGAACAGGACCTCCCCTCCCACTAAGTGAGACTTGAGACTTCACCACCATCTTACAAAATCTAGACATTTAGCATACTAACATTGCTAGTCACCAGGTCTTAGTTGACACATGCCTCTTTCACACCCAGGACTTTCAAAATCTAGTGAGTTCCCTTACAGTTTTGTGTTTCCAGCATGCCAGCGCTGAGCTGGGTAGGAGTTTTGTATAGTGGCATGACCTTCATTCTCTCTGATTAAGGGGGAGTTAGGGTCTCTCCTGCTGCAGCTTCTTGCTGTGAAATTGCTTGGGTCTGGACCTGCTTCTTAGAGAAGTTCCCTCCCTGTTCCTTTATCTGTTCTGGAGAATCAACATTACTTGGGGCAGCAGGTGATGTTGCTACTGCTTTTGACCCAGGAGCATGGAAGTATTGATCCTTCTGCCTATTCATCTTTCCCAGCATTGTTCCTTCCCTTGGATTTTGGATTTCATAGGCCTTGAAAATCTTGTGCCACTTTAAAAACAGCAGGATATATATTTTCTTCAACATTGTTTCTCATGTGCTAGTGAAGACATTCCTCCAATGTTCTTTTTATGTAGGTTATTCCCTGTCTTTTTGAAAAACACCTGGATAAGTCTTAACAGCTTAAATCTGCTACTCAATTTGGCCTCTTCTTTTACCTTTTCTAGGATTAGCATTCTTTGCTATATTTTAAAAGTGTTTTTAATTTTTTTTATTATGAGCCAACACATTTGTTTTTCTAGCATATTCCTCTTGATTTTTTCTTGCATGGTAATTGATCGTGAGAGGTAGGAAGTCAATAAGTTCTAGGTCTGCCAAACATATTCATTGTATGAGTCTTATCCAACTTTATGTCCCTAATGAGAAATCCACCTTGGAGGTATTCTTCCACTGGAAGACATCTAAACCAGAACTGGTCCTGCTCTATTTACCAGCTTTTCTTTCCTGTGCTGTGTATTACTACAAAGTCCTAACTTCATTAATTCCTCAGGCAAATTCCCTCAGAGCGGTAGTTCTCATCTGGGAGTGATTTTGCCCCCCTTCCCCCAGAAGGTTTTTGGCAAAGCCTCCAGACAGTTTTGGTTGTCATAACTGGGGGATTGCTACTGGCATCTAGTGGGTAGAAGTTACAGTTACCATTAAACGTCCTGTAATACTAGAGTAGTCCCCACAACTATGACTTCTTCCAAAAAATGTCAGTAGTACCAAGGTTAAATCGTGTCTCCGAGGATAGGAGATATATTTATGGCCCTCACAGTAATAAGTTACCTTCAACTCACCTAATAATGGCATCAAGAATTCAGCACCCCCCTTCAGAGGCTTCTCTGCAATCCTCCCGGTTGTTCTAGAATCACTTGTTAGGACTGCACAATCTGTAAGCAGTGAATCTAGTCGCTCCTTTTTATGGATTTTACCTGGAGCTTTAAGAGGGAACCTCTAAATGTTTTCCTCAGTGGGCCCTGTTGGAAGTATTGTAGGTTGCTCTCTGATGCCTCGTGCCTTGTATGTTTTTTCTGCAACCCTGGTCACAGGCGCAGGAATGGCTTCACTATTTCCTCTTCAAGAGCACCATCTTAAGAAGCAGTAGGAATGAGCTTCTTTTCTTTATCTTGTTTTTTTTTTATTATGTTATGTTAATCACCATACATTACATCATTAGTTTTTGATGTAGTGTATACCTTGTTTTATCTGTATAGGCAGGCCTGCAATCTATCATTTTCCCTTCCTTTTGATAGAAATCTGTCTATTGCAATCTGTTTTTCCCTCCCCCCCAGAATCTCTTACTTCCTTGAGTATGATTAACTGATATTTCTTTATTTTTGTTAATTGTCCCACTGCTGCTTTTCTGATAAGACTGAAACGGTTTTAAACCAGCCCAGTCACTCGTTGACTCCTTGAGCAAATTTAATTCTTAAAGTTATAGTATAATTTGCAAAGCCTTTTAAGGGGCTCTATCAACATTTGGATCTATATTAATTATATATTAATTATATTAAATTATTATATTATTTTATATTAATTTCATTGAATTGTCTTTGTATCTAAATCCTAGGACATGGCATATTCCCTACAAAAGATCTTTGTTTTATTTGACCTGTTCCTTGACATACTCTGTAGCTACAACTGTAATGTGAGTCTCCAAATCCATAGTGCAGACCTGATTATGTAGTCAACAAATCTAGAAGAAACCCTTAGACTGTATGCAGCAGTATGATTCTGAAGGACCCATGGGAAAGCCACAAGAATCTCAGAGATTACCTCCGACCCATTCATTCCTTGGCCCCAGATACAGTTTAATATAATATACGGACGCTAACAACACTGACCACTTATTTCTCATACCAACATCACACACTGGTTCTTGGTAACCAACCTTAATTTAAAATCTGATCCTGTGCCTTCATTGAAAGATACGGGAAAAGCTACAAAAGATTATTGTGTGTATCAGTGCCTAAAATGTTTATGTTGTGAGTGTTACCCTGTTCGTTGGAAGGTTTTACAGTGACCGAAAGATGTCTTTTCTCTTTAACCAAGTGGCTATCAAACTAAGCTGCACATAGGGACTATTAGGTGAGGTTTAAGAAAGATAATGCCTGAATCCTATCCCCAAAGATTCAGATATAAACAGTCTGGGTGATGGCCTGGACATTGGCAGTTTTGAAAGCTTTTCAGGTAATCCTGAAGGTGAGAATTAACAGCCAAATTTAGAACTATTGCATAACCTAATCCTCGCTGTGCTGTCATGGGTCAGATAGAGGTCAGCTGTAGGAACCTGTACAATCCTGGCTTAATAAAGCCCATGCAACTATGCTTGTTAACTAGTGCCTATTAAAGTAGTCATGAATACATGAAAAGAGCCCTTGGTCTGTGTACAAAAGTCATAATGATCCACTGGGATAAAAATCCTTTGTTGCCTGTGTGTAATGCATCCTTAAAATCTAAAGAACCAGAAACTTCATCATCTATATATTATATTATAGACCAAGTTCTAGTCCTTTTGTTTAGGACTTAAGAATTGTGACCAATGCCACAAAACTGTAGACTTTGGAAGTGATGATTATCAGAATTCTTTCTGGCTCTGAATGCTCAGAACCAAATAAGGGATAAACAGATGAGTCAGAAAGAATGAGAGCAAAATAGTTTCATAACTGATAAAACCAAATTTACGATCATT